AGTTTTTATCTTTTTAATATATTATTTCAAGTTTGAATCATAGAATTCTGAATGGTTCAATAAAGATTATAGTCCACATATGTTGGTAATTATAATAAAGCTTAAATCAAAATCAAATTAATATTAATGCAAAAAGAAAATCAATTCAACACTAAGAATGACAATAATATTGAATATTTGTTCTTTGCTAGGGTTTTACATTGGTTTATTCAAATACATAATCTAATTTTAATTTCCTTTAATATTTAGTCATGTAACTAATTACTTAATTAAACTTATTTTTAGCATGATTTAATACTTTTAAATTATGATCATTTTCATTATGACTTGTTAATTTGCAATATTTGTTTTACGCGATTTCATTATTATTATTTTTTTGTTGGATATTTTAGTATCATTACTCATAATATTTTGTGTTATTTTCTTAAGAAACATCTTAAATAGTTGTATTTTGGTAAGACTAAAGAAATATTTATAGTACAAGTAAATTATATGTTTGTATGAATACTTTACCGGAAAAATCCGAAGTTGAAAAACCCGAATTTTATTGGTTTGGTTTATAGATTTAAAAATTCGACACAAATGATTTTGTTTGATATTTGAAAAATCCGAACCAACCCAACCATGTACACCCCTAGTTTTCATGGTAGAGAAAAAGAGGGAGGCAAACATTTGAATATAGAGTGAAGTATCAAAACCACCCTTAAACTTGGCGTAAATTATTAGTTTCATCCTTGAATTATTGACAGCCTTAAAAACACTCCTCTACTTGACTAACTAAACTTAGATACACTCCCAATATGCAACATGACATAACAAATGGTCTCAAACTCTTATAGGAGCATGGAGTTTTTAATAAAAATCGAGAAAAGTATTGAATACATCTCTAAACTTGAGGAGAATTTAGGGGTGTATTTCACTAATGTTGCAAGATCAGGGGTGTATTTAGCTTCAATTAGTCAAGTAAGGAGGTGTTTTTAAGGCTGTCAATAGTTCGGAGATGAAATTAATAATTTGCATCAAGTTTAGATGTGTTTTTGATACTTGTCTCTTGAATATATGATAAAATATTTCTATTAAAATATTTTTAATTTAAATAAATTATTTTTTTAATATGTGTCGTCTAGCGTTTACTAGCTTAAATAGGAAACTCGCAAACCTGATAGATATCGGCTATGAAGTAAACTTAACACGTGGGAAACCAAACCAGAAACTACTGCTTTGACTTCGGCTCTGTATTTCTGAGTCTCAAACCCAATACACAAAACTGCCGATTTATACACACAGAGAAAAGAAGAAGAAGAAGAGATCATCCCACCCCCACCCTACTAAATTCATCGCCGACCCACTTTCCCTTTCCCCAAATCAACCCGACCCATTTGCTCAATTTCAAATTTATACGACCCGTTTTGGATAATTCCGGGTTGTTTACTTGTGTTTCCGGGTCGAATTCAGAAATGTAGGTGATTTTTAGAGACCCGAATGTGGTGAATTTCTTTTGTAGCATGCAACGTTAAGGCAGAATTTAGTTTTTGATTGAGAAGAAAATATGAAGAATCAATTGGTGAAGAGAGAGTCGATTGTGGCATGCATGAGTTGCCCTCTTTGTCACAAACTATTCAGAGATGCTACTACTATTTCTGAATGTCTTCATACATGTAAGTTGACTAATTCTGTTCTGTTTAATTATATTAGTTGCTTAATTAATCTGCCATTTGAAATTTTCAATTCTTTGGAGTTATTTCGATTTGGGTTTGCATCGATTAGCTATGTATTCATACATGTGATAATATATAAACGTGTCCTTTAACTTGGCTTCAGCTTACTATGCCCTTTAAATTTATATAAAGTTGAACGAGTAGAAACATGCTAGGAAATTAGGGTAAAATACACGTGAACTGATTTGTATTATGCCATGTAGAACGGGTGTGTTTACTTGTTTAAATTGTACAAAAGATGCTAGCTGTTTATGTATTATGCCTAGATTCGTTGGTTGTATTTTTCAATGCTTTGGAGTTCTTTTTGTTACTATTGGAGTTATTTCTCTATTTGGGTTTGCTCCATTTGCATGGATTATGTAGAAATTATGACTCAAACGACTGAGAACTCCATGGCAGGAGACTCTGAGCTTGCAAATGAATCTGGATGAGAATGGAGGAAAAGAGGAAACTGAATTGTGAAATTGCAAACTGATTATCATTGAGCTGAAAGTCACTATTTATACACATACAACTAACTACTTGAATGAACCAATTAACAGAAATACTAACTGTCTAACTAACTAACAAATGAATTAACTTATTATAATTTCAACACCCCCCCTCAAGTTGATGGGGAGGTAGTCACCGACAACTTGCGTAAAATATTAAGAGTGATTAGGTCCACTCAAAGCATTGGTCAAGATATCTGCCAATTGCTCTGTAGTAGGAACATGAGGAAGAACAATTAGACCTTCCTGTAGCTTAGCTCGAACAAAATGGCAGTCAACTTCGATGTGTTTGGTACGCTCATGGAACACAAGATTCTTTGCAATATGAATTGCTGCTTGGCTGTCACAAAAAACTGATATAGGTAGGTTGCAAGGCTCAATCAGTTCTTCTAACAATCTTTCTAGCCAAACTAATTCTCCAACCACTTTCCTTACTGCTCTATACTCAGCCTCTGCTGAAGACAGGGACACTGTTGTCTGCTTCTTTGATTTCCAGCCAATAGGACTGTCTCTCAAGAACACTATGTAGCCACTCACTGACTTTCTAGAATCAGAACATGCTGCCCAGTCTGAGTCACAATAGGCAGTAACATTGCAATCTGTGTGTTTGGTCATAAAAATGCCTTGGGCTAAATCATTTTTCAGATATCTCAATACATGAAATGCTGCCTTGAGATGTGGTTCTCGTGGTGCCTGTAAGAATTGGCTAAGGTGTTGAACATTGTATGTAATGTCCGGCCTTGTATTTGTGAGAAAATTTAACTTTCCCACAAGTTTTCTGTACTAAGTTGGATCAGATAGAAGGGATCCTTCATTAGAGCTTAGTTTCACAGATGGATCAAGTGGTGATGTTGCTGTACCACAGTCCAAACAATCAAATTCTTTAATCAAATCTGTAGCAAACTTTTTCTGAGAAATCAATACACCATTATCTTTGTACAAAATTTCTAGGCCTAGGAAATAATGAAGCCTTCCCAAGTCTTTAATCTTAAACTGAACATGCAAATGTGCTTTCAAAGACTCCATCTCTGCTGAATCTGTTCCTGTCAAGATTATATCATCCACATATACTGCTACAAAAACTGTAGACATGCCTACCTTTCTATGAAAGAGGGAGTAATCACTATTGGAGTGTGAGTACCCTCTTGAGTAAAGAGTTGCAGCCAGTTTTTCATACCACTGTCTGCTTGCCTGCTTCAGTCCATACAGGGACTTCCTTAACTTGCATACCATTCTGTTATCATCAACAAGCAACCCCTGTGGGAGTGTCATGTATACCTCCTCATGAAGATCACCATGAAGGAAAGAATTATTGACATCTAGTTGATATAGGTTCCATCCTTTCTTAACAGCCAGTCCAATCAATGTTCTCACAGTGGTCATCTTCACCACAGGTGAGAAGGTTTCATTATAATCAGTCCTAGCCTGTTGTGTATAGCCCTTGACAACAAGCCTAGCTTTGAACCTTTCCACTGATCCATCAGCCTTATGTTTGATTTTATATACCCACCTGCAACCTATTGCTTTCTTCCCTACAGGCAAAAATACTAGATCCCAAGTATTG